CCCCAAAACCCCAAAACCCCAAAACCCCAAAACCCCTTCGAGATTCTATTAATTTGAATTTTAAAGAATTATTTCTTCTTGCCTCCTTTGCCCTTAGCCTTTTCTTCGGCTTCCATGAGTTTTTTAAGTTCTTCCTCAGACATGTTCCTATCGATTTGGTTCCACTGGAATGTGTGCCCATTAGAGGTATAATTCTGGCCATTGACGCTAGCCTCAATCTTGACAGCATGGGTGCCAACTTCAATTTCCTCACCTAAATCAGGAATTTCTACAGCTAACTTCTCAGAGTTCTTAAAAATAGGAGTGACCTCAGCTGACTTCTCACCAAGGGAGAATTTCAGTCTCAAGTTGTCACCTGCTTTAAGGAAGTTTTGCCCATAGATGAACATTTTGGCTCCAATTCTCCTACTAGAGTTTAGGACCTCTTCCTTCTCATCCGTAATTCTCTTGGCTTTGTCCTCTTCCCATTTCTTGATCTCCTCTTCAGTAAGTTCTGCTGAGGGCTGCTCTATAGGTTCCTCACTAATCCAGAGCTTCTGCTTTTCCTCTTCTGTTTCAAGCTCTTCTCCAAAATTATCAGCATAGGCCAGATGGGAAATGGAGATATTATGGTACTTGAAGCCAGGAACTTCAATCCACTCTTGATTGTTAAATGTTAGCCCAACTTTGACTCCAGAGTTCATGACCTTCTTCTTGTCTTCCTCTGAGACATCTTCTCCACCGAATAACCAGGTAAGTGGAGGTACAACACAGGAAATGGTTTGGGATTTCCTGTTCCAATTTGCTTCAACTTCTCTGCTGCAGTTCTCAGCTGAAAATTTGATACGTTGGATTGAGGAGTGGTACATCCCCTCTCCAACAAATTGAAGAATAGTTCCACCCTCTGATGGACCATTCGGAGGGACTGTTTCGTGTATCTTAATATCATAATATCTGAACTTCAATGGATGCCCAGTAAATTGCTGTCCGTTTAGAGCAACATCAACATTGAACCTCAAATTACTAGCATCATATTTTTCTAAGAAAGGAACTTTACAGCAAACTTCTCCGTCTTTGTAATAACCAGACTCTCAGACCCAGTTTCCTGTCTTGATATTATCTTCTTCTGGCTTAGTATCCACATTTTGGATGGTTTCATCATGAGCTGGATTGTTACTTCCAAGAGCCGAGGAATGTTGGGAAGCATTCAAACCTTTACCTTTATTCTCCTCATGCTCCTCCATACTCTGATTCTTAGTAATAGTTGAATGCATCACCTCCTTTTTGCTAGATTGATGAGCTTGAGATTTCTTTGGAGCAGGGTAAAATCCTACTAAGAGATGTGAGGTATTATCTCCAACCTCTTCTATATGGCTAACTTTGAATTTTAGCTCTGCTCCTCCTTGAACAGAGCCTGACTTTGGATGCACACTTTCAACATGAATATTGTTGCAGATAATGAATTCCTCTTCTCATTCTGAGTAGTTTACTCCGTCTGTGGTTACTGAGATGATGCATCTGCATGGTAAGTCTAATGACGCATTTGGTTGTCCTTCAAATTCCTCAAATGAAGGTGTCTGACAGTATATAGAGTCATTTCCAGGCTCAAAGGAGCAAAACATTTCTTTGTATACATTTCCAAAAGTGAACCTGACTTTTAATTTGTCACTGTCTACTAGTCCAGTCCCAACTATTGAAATAACAGTGCCTCCGTGGGCAGGCCCACAGTTGGGAAATATAGAAGTAACCTTGATTGGAGAATATACTGAAAACATATCTTTATTACAAAATACATCAGTGAAGTTTCTATATGTCATAAGTAGCTATCTTACCTTTTGAGTGTTTCTACTCTTCGAGGCAAGAATTCAGTTGATTTTCCTTCATGGCCAAGATATCCCTTGCCCCAGGAATAGAGCTTTCCTCGTTCAGTGATAGCATATGTGCTATAGTAACTACAAACAGCCTTCTTAAATGGAGGAATTCTGTTTCCTTTTGAATCTTGTGTCATCTTTTCAGGAGACCATCTTGTTATTTGGTCTCCGAGCCCGAGTTGGCCACAATTATTGAATCCCCAAACAAATAGCTCATTTTTGTCTGAAATCGCTAAGGTATGGCCAAGCCCTGCTGAGCAATATATTATTTTTACATCTTCTATCTCTCTTGGATGATCATCAATATCATGAGAGCGAGAGGCTCTAGCATTTGGGCTCTCCACTTCAGTTTCAATGGGAATTTGGACAGGGGTTTTAACAATCCGAGTCTTTGTTCCTATTCCAAGCTGTCCAAGTCTAGCCTCTCCCCAGCCATAAAGCTTATTCTCATGAGTAATAGCAAGAGAATAGAGAGCTCCAGCTGCAACAAAAATGACTGGATTCTTAAAAAATCCCTTAACGTAATTAGGCTTTGAAGCGATTTCAATCAGATTGGATACTCCTAACTGTCCTTCATATCCTCTTCCCCAAGTGTAGACATCATTCTTGTCAGTAAGGATCACAGAGTGGCTTTCCCCACAGGCGATCTGGACGACTCTCTTGTCTGACAAATGCTTTAAGATTTGAGGAGTATCTACTATCTTAGAGCCACCATGGCCAGAAACAGAAAATTCATCATTTCCAAATGAGGAGACATAACCATCTCTAGAAAGCTGAATGATGTGGTTTTTCCCTGATACTACTTGCTTGAGGTGACTGCTACCTTCATGATAAGTTCTGGTGTTGCCCATCTCGTATTCTGAGCCAGCTGTTCTACCTCTATCATCTCCATTTCCTGTACCTGATCTTCTAGACCCTCTTGTTCTTTGAATTTGGGTATTTCTTTCATTCATCTCCTGGTCATGGAACTCCTGAATGTTCGGATCACCTTCAAAATTATCAATTTTTGAATTTTCTTCATATTGCTCTCCCTCTGGTGTCTGGTTATAAGGTATATCCTCCGGATTTACCTCATCTGGGTCCTGCTGAGGCTGCTCTCTGCCTATAGTATGGAGAGGGCTGACTGCTCCTTCATATCCAAGGCCTTCTTCAAGAACAAACATTTTGTCAAAGCCACCACCAAAGCCTGTGATCTGCTTGCCAAGGAACTCCTTCTGAACAGCAAGTGTTCCATCAGTCGTTTCGTTGCAAATAAATATTTCTCCAACTTTTCCGCTGCCATGATCATCAAAGTAGAGTTTAGGGCCATTATTCATATTGGCTTGGTTATCTTGCATTTGGTGGTCCTGCGTTGGCCAATATGAATGAGGGTGGTCGGGAGCAGGCCCGGCATACTCTTCATTGTAGTCTTGCTGATCAGCAGGTTCTAAATTATGGTCAAATTTATCTCTCTAATTTCGGACTTCAACAGCAAAATGTTGACAAATTTTAACACATTTTCAGGAATCATAAAAATCAGCTCGATATGTAGAACAATTTTTATTGGGCTTTGGAACTCATTGAAACTAGCATCCCAAACGTATTTTTGCATATTGCTTTTGGCTCAAATATGTTTAAATAGCTATCCAGTTACTTACCTTGTGAGTAATCCATGAAAATAAATTAATTTAAATTTATGAAAACTAAAAGGGGTTTTGGGGTTTTGGGGTTTTGGGGTTTTGGGGTTTTGGGGTTTTGGGG